CCTCTGCCAAGGTTTCCCAAACAATAAAAAGACTCCTTAAGGCATATGAATATTAAATGCCATTTAAGTGACATATCTGAACGATGTAAAATGTGAGAATTCTATGCAAAAAAGATGTTGAGGTGGCATGATCTCAAATGAAGAGGTAAACTGGAACTGGAAGGACTGCTGTGACTGTCTGCTAATCAACAACCAGTGTTTGGAAAAGTGTTGTAGCAAATCAAATTACATATGATTGGATATTTCTCTGGATCATTAAAACCGAGCGTTGTGGTTCCAATCACAGACTCAGATAAACAAGTTTAATATATGAAGAATGACCTATTATTCACCGGGAGAAATTCTTGTGGAATACTATAAGAGCAATTTAAAGAAGATATAACTTATGTAGCCTATTTAATATTCAAAATAGTCTTTTATGCTATTTATGTTCAGTGAACTCTTCATTTCAAAATATACAGTAATTTTGTTTTAGGAATTCAGATGATGCTTTAAAACCTCATTATCTACTCACAGTTCAATGTTTACACACTCCACGGAGAGTCCAGAACCCAAGAGTCAATTAAAGCCATTTAAAACCTGTTTTCTTGTTTATGAAAACATGTCAATCAGTAGAATATGGTGACTACTCATTTCCACAAAAGAGTATGCTTTATGTGTGTTTTGTTTTTTAGGGATTTGGGGAATTGTATTTGGTAATAAGTAATAAAAACACAGACAGACGCACACACAAGCGCTTCAAGAATTGTTGGTTCGACCCACAGACAGTTTGAATAAATCTGGACAGGGATGAAGGGACAAGGCAAACAAACAAACCAACAAATAAAAACCTGCACCTCCCTTGTTTCTAATATTTATATGCCCTTGAGCAAGGCAGTTACACCCAAAGTACTCCAATAAACCTTCTTAGTGGCCAACAGCTCAGGTTGTGCCGAGTGTTTTCGAACTTTGAGTGCGTCAGACAAAAGGATCAACTCCTGCAGGCAAATTTTGGGTGAATTTAATTAATTTGAACTTGCATTTAATGTAATGCAATGAATTTATAGCAATTAAATCACTGCAATCAACAGATTCACTTGTGAGGATAAATCCATGCCACTTTGACCCACAGATTTAAGCCTCCAATCAATAACAAGTCATCTTAACATGACCTTTGAGGAAATGGACAGCCGTAGTCCAAAGTAGAGGAAGCTATTCTTGCTACGTAATTGGCTTTGTTGCACCATCCACTTTCATTTCACCTTCTCTGTCAGAGTGAAAACTGTTCTGCAGAGTGTAATGGTTTGCAGACACTTACGAGACAGGAGACTGTGGTTAAAATATGCCTCGTCATTTCATTGAAGTGTCTTATTGACTGAATTGACTAGCTTACCCAATAGAAGGTAAACAAGCTACAGTCACTCTTTATTAAATGTGATGGTGTGCAGTCCAGGAGAGGTAAGATGCCTGGTAATGAGAGAATAGAAGGCATATAGAATCACTGAGCTTCTAGAGCCAAATATTTCAAACAGATGAGATCTTAAAGGTCCATTCATTAAAATATGAGAGCTGCGTGCTCAACAGAGCCCGAGTGACAGGTGCACACAGAGCATGTGTGTCTGCAGATGTTAAACTAAGTTCTGCCTGCCTGCTGAGAATGCCCCTCGCAGGAACATGCACAGCCACAACTGAAACTATAGTTATGCCTGCCTGTCTGCCTACGAGGACGGTAAAAAATTATATGGATGTTTTGACAACCTACTGATGCGGTGGGATTTCTCCCGAGGGTGCCAATGGAGGGGGGAGGGGGAGCAGAGAGAAAGAGAGAGTGAGGCCCATAGAAAAAATGGTATAAAAAAGACTAAGATAGAAACCGAATATGTTATTATGAGATGTGTTTATTTTATTCATCATGAATCTGTCTCAGTTATTGATGGGATACACTGGTCACTATTTTTTTTCCGATTTCCTCCTCTACACCAATCCCTTTATCTCTCAGCTCAATACTTGTGTTTCATTATATATTGTTCTTAATTTTTCTGGCAAAAACAATGGTTCCAATCACATTGTGTATGACTGCGCGTGGGTGAGGGTGTGAGTGGGTGAGTATAGCTGCAAGGAGGGATGGTCAGTGTCTACTGGTCTGAACAAACAGCCGGCCTTAAGTACAATTTATTTCACTGCTTCACTAAACTGTTCAATTCACTCTGTATCAGCTCAACACACACACACACACACACACAAACACACACACACACACACACACACAGGCAAAAAGGATGAAGCAGGACTCACTCTAACTTACACACACACCACACTCTAAAACTCTTCAAGTCAGAAGTCAACTAGCTGAAGAGAACTACTTAAAGTGACAGCAGTGTTCTTCTTGTGAACGTGAAAGGTTAGCAGTAATGTAGAGGGGGCTGCTATTAAAAGCTGCCAAAAGCCATCAACCAATCATGTGAAATCAGCTGGAAATATGGAAATGTCATCAGTCAATAGAGCGGAACAAAACTAAGTGGTTTTTTTGTAGTAAAATCCAATGCTGAGGGACTCCCCCCTGTGCTGATGTTGAAATTCATGCATTCATGAGGTGCACTTGAGCAAGGCACCGAACCCCCAACTGCTCTATGGGCGCCGTTTAATGGCTGCCCTGCTCCCCCTCTGTAATGCATGTGTTGTGTGTGTGTGATCTGAGGGAGAGCAAGATACATTTCAATTGTGTGTAACTTACTGTGTGGATTGCATGCAACATGACAATAAAAGTAATCTTAATCTTAATTGAGTTTCTATATGTATGTTAATGCACAAATGTGCCTATGTCCCATTTTGTGTGTTTAGGTGTGTCTGAGCAAAAATGAGCTTGCAGAATTTTCTTGGCTGCACATTGAGATGCTCAGTACAATTTCATCTGCTTGGCCGTGCCATTCGTCAGTTGACAAATCCTTTCAATATAGTCTACCTGCCCTCGCTCGCTCATCATTTTAAAGGAATTACACTCTCTGGGGAGAGAGAGAGAGAGAAGAGAGTTGGAGCGTAGATGGGGAGGTGAGAGGAAGTAACATGAAAAGATGATAGGGAAGGAGAACAGGAAAGATAAGACGGGTATCTTTTCAATATCATCTGCCCAGTTGAAGCCATTAACTGTCGGGAGGACAGAGAGTGGAAAAGAGGGATTTGAAGAGAGCAAGGGGAGAGGATGAAGGTGTGAAAAGGTGTGGAGGGGGGGCGATAAGAAAAAGAGATGAAGGCCATTTACACAGGATCTAATGTAGTTGTACCTGCTGCTATGTTGGTTGAGTGGCTGCAGGAAGGCACTAACGTGGCTGAGTTAAAGCATGTACGATATGTCACTGGGTCTATCGTGCTTCTGCTGTTAAGGAGGAATAATTATGGTTCGGCAATGAGCCCTGGCAGACTGGGCCTCTACAGGGCTTAAACAGGAACTTATAGCATAATAGAGACGGCCTAGCTTCATATGATTTCACATTATAGGTTCACATACATCCTATGGTCCATTTATTTGGTACAGCTGTCCAATCTAACCCAATCACATAAAACAGACTTGCTATGAAATATATCTTCTTAAGCTTATATGATAAATATGACAGTCTGGATGCCTTCACTTGACTCTTATGTTTCAGAAGCTGCCGTTCTAGTTTGAAAAATACCAAATCATGAATTCTCTCATTTCTGGGGCGATTTTCTGGTTTTCCAACTTCAACAGCCCTTGCAGTGGCCCTTCCCACTGCTCTTCAGCCTTACTGGTCCTAATTGGCATAATTTGTTTCCTGCATGCTTAGTAATAAATCTTTTATGACCTGCTCACCTTTGCATTTGAATCAGATGCCTATGGCTCCAGTTTGGAATAAATTTCTGCCTTTATTTCCACACTTGAGTACGTCAAAGCATTAATGCTGCCCTCATCACTCTGCTCAGTTCAGAAAAACGCAGGAAAGAGAGGAGGAGAGGAGAGAAGCAGGAGGCAGGTGGGGATGTTTCAAACTAGCTGACCGCTCATCTTTCCTATGAAGACTGTAACATGGTGTACGGACAGACAGAGATATAAGAGAGTGGTGGAGGGTGGAGGGCATGAAGAAGCAAAGAAAGCAGCAGGAGGGGAAGGGGAAAGAGTAAGTCATTACGAGTGCAGGACGGAATTCAAGCAAAATATATGTTGGGGCCATGTACTGAGGCTTCAGTCCTCTGCAGCAGCCGCAGGTTCAACTCTAAACTGCAATGTATTCCACGCTCTGTCCCCCCCTTTAACGCTTAAATGCCAACACAAAAACCAACACAATTTGACTGATGCTAATATCAACAATCGTTTGATATCTCTTACAGAGGGAGCTTGTGTCATGATGCTGTTTTCTTTTCGTTTGACTTTGGCTTTGTGCACTGGTTTTTTAGGATCTCCACAAGATCCTTGTATCGGACGACTACATTATTACACGTTTATAAGGGACATTTTCTTCCTCCTCTTTGTTCATCTCTCAGTTTCTTCTATGACCTCTATACTGTTCTCAATGTCCACATCCCCTTCCCTTTCTCCTCCTTAATTTTGTAGGATTTTCATTTTAATTTCACATTGCAGTGAGCACAAGTACACTGTAGTGCTCCCAGCTGTCCAGTAACACACACACTACATGGACATGCATACACACTGTGCTCTGACGTGTTAGCAGGTGGTTATAGCACAGTGTGTGTTTTACTTAGGGCCAGCAGCCTCACAGATGTTTTTATCACTAATCTAATACAGCCACAGTAATCACCACAATGTACAACACATTGAACAGTTCTCTTAAAATATTTTTAGATAAACACATATACCATTTGTAAAGGGGAAGATGATAAAAGGAAAAAGGGATGGGGACAAGGAATTCAAGAAAATTAAGGTAGTGAAGAGATTAAAGTTGGATGAAATAACCAAAGTGAGGGAATAAGAATAAAAAAAAAACAAAGTGCAAAGATGAATTAAAGCATGTGTATATAGAGGAAGGAAAAAACAATGTGACTCATACCACTTGTCCATTCTGGGGGTTTTTGTGGGCATAGGGAGGACCCCTGATATGATTCCACATCTGACCGGATGTCATTGCAAAAACTACACACTATTACAAACACAGAGAGACAGAGAGAGACAAGCAGGTATTAAACATCATTAGCAAGGAAATAATGTATGAGTTGACAAATTACTTGACAAATGTTTTATTAGAACATGCAAAAGTCTTTTCTAATGAGTTTTACCAGTACAATCTCACTTGACTTATGTCCCTGGAATGTGGAGGTGTGTCTTTTTGGCAGAGCACATGTTAACTTCTCCAAGCGGATAAAAAATTAAACACAATTCTACACTCACAGTGTGTAGAATTTTGTGTGTCTGTGTGTGTGTGTGTGTGTTTGTGTGTTTGTCATACCAGTGCAGCCATGGCCCATCCAGTCTTGTTGTATATGAATTCCAAGTTGTTCCTTCTCAGATACAGCAGACCTCCAACCAGAGAAACTAACAGAGCCAAAGCAATGGTCCCCGAATAATTAGGAGGACGGAAGACACGAATCTAGAGAGATAGAGAGAGAGGGAAAGAAACAGACAGAGAGGGGGGGAGAAAGAGATGAATACCATATAACTTGTACATAGCACTATATCAAATGTATAGTTATACTGATTCATTATCTTAATGTGATGAATACTGTGAATAAATATCATCCATTCTCCCTTTTCCAAGTTTGAAGCAGGAAAAACATTTTTTTTCCTGCTTTGTGAGATTTGATAATAAAGAATCATCAGTTTGTAGTTATATCTAAAATGGGGATTAGAGGGTATGCTCCAAGTGATCTGGGTATCACACTAGAATTAACACACTGCTCAACCCACATGTTAATTCAAGGGTGTTATTCCAGGTTTAATTCCAGGGTTTTATTCCAGGTTTAATTCCAGGGTGTTATTCCAGGTTTAATTCCAGGGTGTTATTTCAGGTTTAATTCCAGGGTTCATGTAAGAAGGCTGAAATCTACTATCGAACCTCAGATTGAGGAGAAGAAATGCTGATTCCATACTGGCCTTTAAGCAGTGGAACAGCTCTTTACCCTCGTGGGAGGGCTGAGGGGGTCATAGTGTGACCATCCAGTTAACATGTGTTTTGCAGACTTGCCTTATATGACCATGTCCCCAACGGGAGCCTGTAGGGAATATTGAAGGACTATATTATATATGGCACAGTAGTTGTTGCATCAGGCCACCCAATCCTTGTAGAACAAAAAAGAGGGCTGCGTCTGTTCACAAAGTGAAACATGTTTCCAGTTGTTATTGGACTCAGTCAAAGTTGCCCCCTGTCCTCAATCCTGTTTGTGACATTTATAAAGCCAGGGTTTCAAGGAGGAGCAGAGTAAAGAGAATTTTCAGTTTGAAAACCTCAGAGATGTGTCCATGCCTTGTTGCCTTGTGCACCCTGTAGTGCAGGAATCTCCCACATGCCTTTAAACAGTTCAGGTCGTACCCTTCCAACCAGAGTTTCTCGGTGACTATGACCAGCTTATTCTCATCTGCCTCAAACATAAGGTATGGTGTCCCCTAGGTTTCAGTCCTAGGTCCCATTCTATTGTCCACTGTCACTGCTACAATGATGACACACAGTTCTATATTACTATCTGTCCTAATGACCAATAATTGCAACTCTCCACAAGTGCCTCGCTGAAATAACACACAGGACGGCAAACAACTTTCTCCAACTGAGCCTCTCCAAATCTGATGTAATTGTCTCTGTTCCCACCTCCAGCAAGAAAGAAATCCTGTCAAACCTCGGTGAACTAGCACCTTTACCAAGTCCAAGTGTATTGAAAAGTGCTATAAAAATAAAGTTACAAATATTTGTATTATTATTGTTATTGACTTCATCAGACGCTGACATTCAGAATGCATTGATGTGTTTGTGAGTCCGGACCTCCAAGTCTGAGAGCATGGTTTCTTGTCAGAAAAGGGTGAATGTTTTTTCAGCATTGGTGCTAAGCTGCTGCCCCAAGGGAAAGAGTTTAAGTACATTGGGGTCTTGTTTGGTGAGGGAAGGAAACAGAAGATGAGTAGGTGTGACAGTAATGCAGATGTTGTACTGGACTGTTGTGGTGAAGGGGGAGCTCAGCCAGACAGCAAATCCTGCAAATAGCAGTCAGTTCGATCTGCACTGATGGTCACAAGCTCTGGGAAAAAGTGAAATAAAGAGATTGTGGATGCAAGTGACCAAAATGAGTTTCCTCTGTATGGAGGAGGAGCTCAACTTTGAGTCAATCCTGCTTTGAGTAATAAATCCCATTTAGGTAGATTATGCATCTGCTTAGGATGCCTCCTAGGTTCCCTCCTTTGGAAGTTCTCTGAACACATCCAGCTGTTATATACGAATGTGGTGTCTCATCTAAAGTCCTTCGGTTAAGTCATTCAGACTTATATTTTGGTGTATTTGGGAATTATTGAGCAGAAAAAAAGGAAGCAGCAAGAGATATCAACATTTTTCCCATTTCTTTCAAACTATGGATCTAAACACAGACTTCTATTAATCGGTTTCATTTGAGTTAATCCAACATATTTGTTCTTTTCCTTTTCTGTTTTCATCTTTTTTATACTTGTATCAAACATTGTATAGTCACAAGTACCTGAAAGCTGGTTACTTAGTGTAAGTGCTCTCCTCTCTTATACACTCACAGACTGTCTTTTGATTGCAGATCCATTAACAAGAAGCCAGAGAGCTGCTTGCTATTTTTGCCAGCACTTGGCTGTCAGGATGCTCAGCAAAGTCCAACAGTTGAAGATATCATCTTGCAAGAGGGAACAACTCAAGTGCCTGTAAGCAGGCACATCTAATACATGTGTGCATGTGTGTCACCCGGTTCCTTGAAGCTTAAAAGCATTTGACACGGTCAACATTGCATCTGCTGTCGCAAAGATAAAGGATGCTTTCACACCTAACCTGTTTGCTTCAGTGAAAAAAAATGACATTTGCCTATTTTGGTCAGTCTGTTGAAAGAGTATTCCACAGATTTAGCAGGATTCTGAGTGGTTCTTTAAAGTCACACTGAACCATGATTCTCATTATTTAAACTGAGGCTTCAAGCCTTTGCAGCGGCCTGAGTTTGATTCTGGCTCGATTCTGGCTTAACGCTTTCATTATAATCTCTCATTATAGCAGCAACACTGAGATGTTGGTGTGTGCGTGGCAGGGTACATCCAGCTGTTTCGGTGGTGGGGATGGATGCCGATTGAAGATGGCATCATGCAAATTAGTGAATGTGAATATCTGTGTTCATAGTACCTGGACATCTGTGCGATCTGCAATCCACTTGGCCAACTGCTCTGAAGCAAAACCAATCCTTTGCAGGTCAAATGTATCAGCCCTCTTCGGCTTTCCCTTGGCTGGAAAATGCATGAAGGTAGGAGCGCTGTTCATGTTCAACTAGAGGAAAAGGGAGAAGATGCAGGTGGTGAAGTCAGATAAAAAAATACATCATGGATCAAAATATCCCACAGACTGACTACATGGGCTTGTATCATGAATTCACCCTTTTGAATGCTTAACATCATGTTTCTAAGCTCACAGTTTCCATTGTTCATTGTTCGATTGTTTGCAGTCTTTCAGAATTGAATTATGACATCTATTCTGTAAGGTGAACAGCTTCCTCTGAGTGTATGAAAGAGGTTTAATGTTTATTCTTTTTTTGAACATTTAACAACTGGTTTATTCTACAAGCAAATTATGCCTTTATTATGTTTCCCTTGGAATAAAGCAATTGTCTTTTTGCAGGCCACAAGTAAAGTCTTTAAATCAGCAATTCAGCAGCAAGCTAATGCTTTGAAAAAAAAACACTGCTGTGACACAAATGTTGACACAGTATGTATCTCTATGGTGTGCCATTAAGAACCTTTTTGTGAGTGAGCCAGCAGATTCAATGATGATATCCTTACTGACTGTGCAGAAGTGCACCGTGTCTTTAATGGTTGAAAACTGCATTTCAACTTTTATGTCGTTCCTACTGGAAATTAAGAGAGAAGGTCCATATTCTGTCCAGATCTTCTAGGTACATAATCTCCAGTCCAAATCACTAAGTCTATAATGTCAAACGCTATAAGACATAATGAAAACCACTAGAATTGTGATCATAACATTGTATAATAGAGAGCTATTCCTAATTTGATGGACTTTGCAGTTGTAGCTTGTAAAAAAAAAAATCAGGTGATGACTCTATTGGCCAAATGCTACATAATAAAATATGGCACAGGAGCAATGATGACAAATAACCTTCAAAATTGATGATATATATAAGAAACTACACCAGTCTATTCTATTTATATCATGCTGTATGCCTCTGTGTGTGTATGCGTGTGTGTACTGATGTAATTATAAGACAGTGAGTGGGTGCTAATAATTGCATAGAGAGGATGATTCCAATAATTCTATCTTTGCATAAATGTTTTTTTTTGTTCTATGCAAACATTTTCCATCTGTCGATTTGAATACATACAAACAACCAAACACATGTAAACACTCACACACACACAAAGACACAGCTAAATAAAAGTGTGTAATTCAGGAATTTGAAATGAGGTTGATTATCTCTAAATTTGCAGCCAACTTTCATCTCTCCCTCCTGCCTTCAATGTTTCACACCTACTTAACTAACAATAAAGTCACTGCTTTACCCTCTTTTGTTTTCCCCAAGACACCTAGATAAAAATGGAGAGGAGGGAAAAAGGAAGGAAATGAGCAAGGAGAATGAAAAAAGGAAAAGATAAAAATGAGCAGAGAGAAGATTTGCTAAATGGGTTATTTCTCAAGCCACCCATTTAATGATAAATTACAATAATGGATTAGAAGCATGTGTGCAAGCATTCACATGTATTCCAATGCAACAGTCCAAACATATACATGTGGAATTAGCGGCAAACATATGTATAAAATATACATTGGACATACCAACACGAGCAAACAAGTGGAAAAAAAGAGCAAAATGATGCGGATGTAATTTTCTATTATTCAATCTTCAATCACGCTTTTTCATGAGTGAAAATCAAATTGCCTCAAGGAAAAGTAAAAAATAAGTCACTTGAATGCCAGAGAGAAAGAAGGAACAACAGAAGCAATAGAGGGAAAAGAAACCAAACCAAGCAACATGGCTGATAAGACATGTTAAAAACTATTAAATACTAAATACTAAACTAATTAAAATCAGCATGAGTGAATGTTTCTATTGCTGCCTAGAATTGAAAGGGTTTTTAACCAGTAATTCTCAGCCCCACCAGAGAAAAAATAGGGGAATATCTTAAATAATACTTACACTGTCACTCCTTAACAAGTCTTTTAGTTAAAATGGTGGAACACAACACAAATTCCTGAAATCCACAGTGGCAAAGTGAAAAAAGTGAAAACCACTGCCCCTCCCAGTCAAAAGCTACTTCAGACCATTACATGCACAGCAGAGACTGATATGTGTTTGCTTGTCTACCCCTAGAGGCCAAAGTCAGCAGATCAAAAATCCAACAGATTTTATAAGATTTAATATTGTTTAAAGGAATAACTTTGTATTATAATAACGCAGGTTTTATAATAGTCATCCATCCTCTTCATAATACTGGATCATATTTGTCTGCACTTTTACACTGACCTTTTTTTTCTTTTTTATAAAAGCTAGTGATTAACCTCCTACTTTTTTGCAGCTATTAATTTAATGAAGCAAATTACCTTCTGCAATCTGGCGGGTCCGATGATAAAGCTAATCCTATATCAGCAAAACAGTTATACAAGTTTGGAGTTTTTCTAATACTTCATCATATTAATCACCGTGTGAAAAACAAACCTTACACTAACCCCTCCTTAAATGGAAAGGTATGTTTTTAAATACTGAATCAGAACCTAAAAAAATTGTAAATGGAACTAATGCAGGACCAGCTGTGTTTTCTGTGGATTACATACAACTGTGCAAATGTGCTCCTGTAGAGTCATGGGTTTGGTGATAATGAAGGTTAGAAGAAATCGATTGGGGGAAAAACATGAAATCAAAATGGGTTGATTTTAACTGGCTTTCACGCCAACATAGTATATTAGTATTTTGGAGTATTGTGTATTCATTTGCCAAACACGAGACAGACGTCACAATAAACAAATATTTTGGCCATGATGTGGCTGAATTCATATAGGATTGTCAAAAGAGTGAATGACTAGTTACCTGTTGGAAAACGTCAGCTCCCTCATCGTAGTCCACCACGGTGAAGAACAGCTTGTTGGAAAATGCAGATGAGTAACGCCACGAGTTTGCCAGGACTTGGTATTCCTCGTTCGCCTGCCTATAAGATGATAATGAAACAAAATCAAGAATACAAATACTCAAATACAGTGTTAATAATAAGTATTCTGTTAAAGATCATTTCTTTTATGGTATTACTAAAGTCAGGAGTTAGTCAAGTTCCAAAAACATAAAGAAACACAATTTAAGATCCATGGAACCAAGATATCTAGAACAGGACAGATTCCTCAGAGGGAGCTGATGCAAGTATTACCATCAGAATGGAAGTAATACTGCGGCAGTCAGACTGGTTCAATGTGTACTCAAGATGTCTTGTTTACATTGTTGTTAAGTATGTTTTTAGAGGTACTCAGTTGTAATCCCACTTTGCCGTCTGTTTCCATTTACTCAGCCTCTCTTTGTCCTTACAGGAAGAGTGATTTTGATTCCGACAGGCCATTGGTACAGGCACCACACAAAGGATGAAAGGAGTGCATTTATTCATGATGAGACAAATAGACAAATACCAAGAAATGTGGTAAAAGGAGGAGGAGGGAAGCGTAGGGATGGAGTTAGAGACTGTGCAAGATTTAAAAAAAATGAGAGTGGGAAAATGGGAGGAGAAAGAGAGAAGCTGAAGGGAGTGAGAAAAGCAAACTGCACATGAGCTCCTTGGTGACGTTTCTCTCTTCATCCCATAAGGTTCTTATAAGGACATGAGCAGGACTGCATTTTCATTTCTCTCTCTCTCTTTCTTATTGAACCTCACTAATCACTGTATTTCTATTTTCTCCAAAGTCTAATGTCAGTGGGCAGCCCTGGTCGGACCAGCATATTACTCTAACCACATGCATGACAAAATGAAAAGTTCAATGTCAAGAAGCCATCTCTTCTTGTTTCTGACTGTTTAAGACTTTCTCCTTCACTTTGACATTATGTCTTATGTCAACTGCCTCTTGTGTTGGCTTTAATTAGAGAGAAATCATATGTCAGGATCTGTTATGTGCACTGATGTTACAATGTTATCTGCAAAGCTACTGTTAGGACAGTCTCTCTTTGAAGTGTCTGAAGTTCAAAAAAAAGAGCTGAGATGATGCCGATGAGTCAGATGTTAAAACTGAGGCCAGCAGACTGTCAGGGATTACAGTGGTGCTCATCTCTGTCTGGGAACCCCTCCTCTGCTGGAACTGTCTCTGTGTCACTGAGATATCAACTTTAATGTGCAGACAGTCCGTGTCATCTATTCATGTGTTGTTTATTTAGCTTCCTGACAAATCTCCTAATGATATAAGAATATTTTACTGATGAGGTTGGGTGGGTTTGTTCATCAGCTTCCAAAAAATAACAAAATAAAATATTGCAGTGATAATAAAATAAGTTAAACCATTTTAGCCTGAAAGTTAGAAAATCATCAGACAGCATTTCATGTTATGTGAATTGTATGTTTCCATTTAACATTATCTGTTCGTACAACTGTGAACATAAATACAATTAATTTACAAAAGATGAATATAAATTGTTGCAGCATGCCTTACATGATGTTGTGAGATGTCCACCTTTATGAATTAAAATGTATTTAATACAAGGGTTTGGCTTGCTAATATTTAGTGTGTTTCCACAAATCCAACTGGTCTCAAACAAAGGTTTGTGAGGAATGACAAAATGGATTGCCCCCATCTTATTTATGTAAGCATACTCATTCATGTATTGAATATATAATATAATATAATACGTTTTAATTTAATATATATAAACCCCACTCAACTATGCAAAATGTACCTAGTAGCCAAAATAAGGAAATATGTGGAGTAGTTTTTATTCCAGTAAAGAAAAAGACAGTTTTCTAAGTTTTATTAAGCTTCAAACTTCTGTTCAGGGTTCAGCTGGAGTTGTCGCACAACTGTTGCATCACTGTCTGCCTTTTTTTCCCAGCCACTTGATAATTTATAGGTGTTGATACATTGTGTGAAAATACTCTCAACATACCATCAACACTAACCTTGAAAATGAATATAACATGGAGACCGTCATCTTTGAGTAAACTTGAATTAATCCTGTCCTGTCCTGAGTTAAAGGGATACTTAGTATGGAACAGCGAACAAAGCTGGTGATGTGGGAGTGAGGACCCCAGTGATAAGCAATCTTTTTTACTGCCTGATGGTCCTCTTAACGCAGACTCTCAGGTCACCATCTGACATCCATCCCTTACACTCTCTCACTGTCTTTTACTAATGATGTGATACAATTGCTGGTGTTAATATGATAGAACTGGCTTGGGAAATTGAAGGAAGTGAGACAAACAGACAAATAAAGAGAGAAAGAAGCAGGCCAGTGAAAACAAAGGGCAATGTAAGGCAGGGAAAATGGCTGAATGGGTAGACGTTAATGAATGCATCTGGCGATTCAATAGAAATAAGTGGGCTGTTTTCTTGATAAGAAGGCAAGAAATTGCTTTTGAGATAAACAGATGTATGTGTGTGTGTGTGTACATGTGCGTGTATGTGTGTGTGTGTCTGTTTTAATGTGTGAAGGGTCAGCCAACAGAGAAAATGTGTGTACACCTGCTATTGGCGAGTGTGTACTTAATTATGGCCAAGCAAACAAAAACAGAATCCGTTTGTCTCTGTGTTATTAAAATACTGTCTATTATGCCCGTCTTTCACAAAAAATGAAAAGGAAATGAAAATAAGAGCGATAGAGACTCACAAAGAGAGGTAGCTGAGGGGTGCTGACATGACCGATGAATAAGTTATCTAATCAAGTGAGTGAAGTAGCAGTCTCTGATTAGAGGAACAGGTCGGGTCAGGATGAAGAAGTTCAGTAATGAGCTCATCAAATATCTGGACTTCCCCAAGAACAACAGGACATAGGTCAACTACCTGGTTTATGCAGCACATGCATAACATAATGTACACCATGAAATCTAATGTGGTGAATGTCAATTAAGAAATATGACTTATAATTTTCCATAACTCAACATTGACTCAACAGTCTGTTTCCACATTAGCTTACTTTAACCTAGCTTTAACAATTAAGACAGTGATTTGTGGGGGGAAGTCAGTGATTCTTAAACATCAGGCCAGCCACCACCTTTGGTTTCAACTGGGTCACTACACAGTAGTAGTAGTAAACAAAGTATGAATGCAAAAGGGAAATCAACAGTAACAATGGTCTGATTAAAATGTTATGTTTATCATCATCATGCTACAATTTCAGTCATATGTCCCATATTCCCAGCTGCTATCATGATAATAGGTGATAACACAGGGAAGTCATTTTATTCATGTTGCAACTGAGACATAATAATCCCAAAAAACAGTGTATGCATCAGGTTTTCACTAAGTATTTTCAGGACCATGGACAGCTCCATAGTCATCACTACTATGAGTACGAGTGTTGTGTGCAGAGCTGTCCATGGTGCTGAAACGTCATGCTTGACAGGGAGTTAGAAACGTCTGATTCAGATGGGAATTCACTTCAATTCTGAAGTAAAAATTTAAATCAAGTCAGAATAATACTTGACCTTACCTATGTCGCATACATGATGCAAGTCTTGGTTTTGTTAATAAAAAGAAATCCAATTTCAAGCTCGCTATTGGGGTTTCGAAAATTCTCCTGAATGTATTAAATGCTTTGAGTATGCAAGTGGGTAAGTAGGTCTTGTTGGTCTTTTTATTCATTCCCCTTTGGTTGTATGGCTGGCTGGAGTCTCTTTGATCTAAATGTCAATGTGACCCACAGGTTCTTGTTATATAAAGCTTTTTTCTGTGTTTCCCAAGAAGTGCACGTCTATGTGTGTGTGCGTGTGTGTGTGTGTGTGTGTGTGTGTGTGTGTGTGAGGGGGAAGGAAGTACAATATCAGATGAGTTTGAGGACATTTGTGCATGCATTTGTGTGTATGTGTGTTCCCCTGTAGGTGAACTTTAGTGCACTGAGTAAACTTTCGTGAGGACAATAGAGTTATCTCAGGCAATAGAGAGGCAACAAAGAAAGGGGTGGAGGAAAAGCTGCTATGCCAGGTTGTGGCCTACAGAAGGTGGTTTGGCAGTGTGTGTGTGTGTGTG